GGTGCCAAAAACACGGTTATGTTTGTGGCCCGCGTGCTTACTGGCAGTTTCGTCGAAGGGAACATGATGTACACCAGCCCTCCTGTGCCGTACGACAGCTGTGTGGACACGAGGTCGAACCCCTCCGTCTTCGTCGTCTTCCAGAAGGAGCAGATTTACCCCGCCTACGTGATCGAGTATAGTGAAGTAGACAAGGCGTGCGTGGTCAGTTAGAAACGGGACTGAGGGCCTCACCATCCCGTTCACGTCCAGAACCAGGCCCCGATCATAGTGAGCGTTCACGTGTTCTTGCCGAGTTAGCTCAAGTCTCAAGTCCACGGTCCCCAAGCATTTTTTGCCCCAAAGTTCCGAGGCCCAGGCTGCACCCCATACAGCGAGAGCCAGGCCGGAAGCAGAGCGTGGGCCGTCGTTGACGCGCCTGGCGAGGGCTGCGTTCTCGGCTTTCTGTGAAGCTTCTCTCCCATCCTCTCCATTCACTGGGTGACGCGACTTGTTAATCGAAGGAAAACTGATTTGGGAAGTTCCAGAGGGATCTAGTCATGCCATTGGAGACAAGGACATAAGACATTGCATCTTGGATGGGAGCTTGTGAGAAGCTGAGGCAAGAAGTGCTTAGGGGCATGCTGAGAACAACAGTGGACATGTGAATACTGCTGCCCCTGCAGTACCGCCTGTAGTACTCTTTAGTGCTGCCGTAGTACCTCTTTAGTGCTGCCTGTAGTACTCTCTTTAGTGCTGCCTGTAGTACTCTTTAGTACCTCCTGTAGTACTCTTTAGTGCCGCTGTAGTACTCTTTAGTGCTGCCTGTAGTACTCTCTTTAGTACCTCCTGTAGTACTCTTTAGTGCCGCTGTAGTACTCTTTAGTGCTGCCTGTAGTATTCTCTTTAGTACCTCCTGTAGTGCTCTGTAGTACTGCTTGTAACATTCTCTTTAGTACTGCCTGTAGTACTCTCTCTAGTGCTGCCTGTAGTACTCTTTAGTACTTCCTGTAGTACTTTGTAGTGCCACCTGTAGTACTCTCTTTAGTACCACCTGTAGTACTCTCTTTAGTGCTGCCTGTAGTACTCTTTAGTACCTCCTGTAGTACTCTTTAGTGCTGCCTGTAGTACTCTGTAGTGCTGCCTGTAGTACCTCTGTAGTGCTGCCTGTAGTACTCTGTAGTGCTGCCTGTAGTGCTCTCTTTAGTGCTGCCTGTAGTACTCTGTAGTGCTGCCTGTAGTACCTCTTTAGTGCTGCCTGTAGTTCTCTGTAGTGCCACCTGTAGTGCTCTCTTTAGTGCTGCCTGTAGTACTCTGTAGTGCTCTCTTCAGTGCTGCCTGTAGTGCTCCCTTTATCTCCTCGTTCCTTTAGGGGACAGACTCCATGCAAGCTGAGTCTTTCTGCAGTGCAGCGAGCGTAGCTCGGAGAGAAGCAGCCAGTTGGCGTGAGCGGCCCGTTTGGGCTCTTGATGTCATGATGGCAAAGTAGATGCTTATGTTCCAGTTCATGAGGTTGCACGGAAGGGTGCCAGCTGTTGTGCAGGTGTGTGTACGGGGAGGCCTGAGCTGCAGGATTAGTCACACAGGCACGGCTGGTAGCCCTAAGTGCTCCCGTAGTCATTCGCAGGAGAGACGTGGCTCGCCAAGATCAGGGCCGGGCCACTGCTCCTGACCAACAGGCCCTCACAGGCGCGCTTGGTGTCTGGGGAGCCCAGAATCAGAGCCCAGAGGACAGTGTCCCTGCCGGGCCGCTTTCCTACACAGAGTGGGTCGTGTGGGATTCTATAGTGCGATTAGGTGTTAGGGTAGTGGAGGTCCCTGGACCAGTATTTCCTTCCGATTATGAATCAGGTTTTGCTTCCAGCTCTCCGTTTCGACATTCCCCTCCCGTCACCAGCGTTTCCTAGTGGAGCTGCTTCTAGCAGACGTGTACTTAGCATTAGAGTTGGTTTTCTGCTAGACGTCCGAGTACAGGTGTCCACGACTCAGTCCGAGGGCTGCAGCAGCAGTGCTGTGTGCAGTAGGTGCTGGCCCCGTGGTCACTGCGGGTCACCTGCTCTTTGCACTTCGCTTTCTGTTTTGGAGTCCGGTTCCTGACCTTGACTCATGTTGTGGAGCCACAGCGGATCCAGCTGGTTCCAGCTGGTTCCAGCTGCCCACAGACACTTCTGGTTGCCTGTCTCAGGTCACGTTGGATTCCACACACTGAAGACGGAGCTGTCGCTCTCCCATGTGCGTGCTCCCTGAGTATATGGCGTCCCCACCCTGTGCCCAGTGGCTCCAGAAGTCAGCCTTGGCCGCCTCTAAGCAGTTACCACTGCATCCCTGTGCAGGGCCCACACCTCTCACCTCTCACCTCTCACAGGGCCCGTGCATCCCTGTGTCCCCATCTGTGTTCGCTGCTTAGCAAGAATGGTTCTGTCTGTAAAAGCTTACTGACTATGCTCTTTCAAAACAGATCTGATGGTGCCTGCGGGTACACTTGAGACCCATTGTCGTAAGATCTCCCCCTCGCTGGCCCTGTGTCGCTGTCCGAGGTCTCTCTGGCCTTCTTGCAGTTCTTGGTATCTCTTCTGCCCAGCTCATGGCTCTCCGTGGGCACTGCTGCTTTTCAAGGGGCGAATGCTTTATTTTCCTCAAAATGCAATTCCAGGATAATATACTCTACCTGTACACAGTAGTAGACATAAATGAAAAATCAGCTAGAAACAATATCACCTACGGATGAATAAGGGGTTCTTTACTGGGGTACAGCTATACTGACATACTGAGGTAGTCGGATGCGCACACCTACTATATGAGTCGATTTGAGCATAAAAGAAGGTAGGCAGTCAGAAGCTGTTTTGTACCTCTGGAGTACATGTGGGTATCAGAACAAAAGCTAGTGACACAATAACCAATTTACATATGGTAATAGTTCCTGCATCTGGAAATACTTATTTGCATATGAAAAAACGCAGTAACTTGCAACTGTGCAAGAAGCTTTATAGATTGTCGAAGCAGGACAAGAGGAGGCCAGCTTTAGGGCTTTTAAAAAAGTTCGTTGAGTAGGGCTGGTGCTGTGGCTCACTTGGCTAATCCTCCGCCTGTGGCACCAGCACTGTGGGTTCTAGTCCCGGGTGGGGCACTGGATTCTGTCCCGGTTGCTCCTCTTGCAGTCCAGCTCTCTGCTGTGGCCCGGGAGTGCAGTGGAGGATGGCCCAAGTGCTTGGGCCCTGCACCTCATGGGAGACCAGGAGGAAGCACCTGGCTCCTGGCTTCCGGATCGGCTCAGCGCCGGGCGACCATTTGGGGGTGAACCAACAGAAAAAAGGAAGACCTTTCTCTCTGTCTCTCTCACTGTCTATAACTCTACCTGTCAAATAAAAAAGTTCGTTGAGGATAGGGTTGAAAAATGTTTATTTTGGTACAAAAAGATTTGGAGATCCATGCATACGAGGGCTCTTCAAAAAGTTCATGACAAAATAATGCTTTGAAAAAGCTGCATGGATTTCAAATCTTTTGCACTAAAATAAACTTAGTTTAATTCCACTTTCCCCTGAACTTTCTGACGGATCCTCGCGCATGGGTGTCCGGAGAGACACTCAGAATCGTATAGGTGCGGGGTGGTTGTGCTCGGCGGGGTGCTCAGCGGGCGGCTCTGCCCCCCTCGCGGTCATGGTAGCCACCGAACACATCAGACTCCCTCGCTTGGCAGCGCAGAACCGTGCAGCCTCCGTAGCTCCCGACAGGATTCAGAAACGGACTTCTGTGCAGGTTCACACAGTGCTCTAGGCCTGTGGTTACGGAGGAGCAGAAGGTGAGAAATTGTCGTGAGAGGAGGTGAATTTGAGCATGAGCGCTGTGACGTGACAGGCGTTCACTTCACTCACGCATAGGTCTGGAGGGAAGCAGAGAGAGCGGTGAGGGGTGTGGGTGACACCAGAGTGCAAACCCGGCGGAGGAGGCGCTGGCAGACCGCGCACTCATCTGTGTTGACGAGCGCCATTTCCCTGCCTGAACCGGGATAGGACGAGGCTGCACCGAGCTGCAGGTCTACGTACGTGTCCAGCGGGACTTTAGAGAGTCGTCCAGGGCACAGACACTTGGCGGGCGCGGGGGTAGCCCACACGTTGCACCGCTGTTCCCCTGGCTGCATAGATGCGGTTGCTGGGAGACCAGCGACTGCCTGACGCGATCCATTTCCCCCGACGCAGATCCCTAGCGCCACGGCTAACTTCCATAGAGCCCTTCCGTAGGCTAGACCGCGTCCCTGCCGCCCAGACACCACGAAATACGTTGTGCCTTGCTGGGCTCATTTCAGTATCCGTTATGCTTTCTGCGTTGGAGCGTGGGCTCCCGGGGCTCAGTCTGTCTGATTAGCGTGGCTTTGCTGCATCTGACGCCCAGCCTAGCTGGGTGCTTGATACGCGGATAACATTGCATCAGTTCTGGGGCATAAGTAAGTTTTGCTGTGTCTGTTTCAATAGTGTTGCATTGCTTCTTGTTTTTGTTTGCTTAGTTTTTGACTGTCTAATAAAAAAATTTTTGTTCTGTTGTCTTTATTCTGTTTCTAGGTATTTCCAAAAAGATAATCACTGAAGCTACACATTTGTTCAAAGTGGGAGAGGGGTTACTTGTTTTTCATATTTATTTATTTGAAAGGCAGAGTTACAAAGAGAGGGAGGATGGGAGAGAGATCTTCCATCCGCTGGTTCATTTACCAAACGGCCACAACAGCCGGGGCTGGCCAGGCCGAAGCTGGGAGCTGGGGGCTTCCTCTGGGTCTCCCGTGCGTGTGCAGGGGCCCAAGCACCTGTGCCATGTTCTGCTGCTTCCCCAGGCCATTAGCAGGGCACTGGATTGGAAGTGGAGCAGCCGGGACACTATCTGGCACCCACATGGGATGCCAGCGCCATAGGCGGAGGCTCAGCCCGCTGCGCCACAGCGCCCGCCCCCGCCGTTAGTTTTTGCCAAGTGGGTGAGACTGAAAGAGCATCTGGGTGGTTGGGAGTATGGAGGGGCCGACAGAGGGACAGGAGGCTGGATGAGAAGGAGTGAAGACAGGCAGGGGCTGAAGGCACAAAGAAGGTGGATGCGGGGCACGGGAGAAGGGCGGCAGTTGGGGCAGCAGCTGAGGGTTTCCGGGACGTGCGGCGCAGTTCCCACCGAGACTGGTGGATGTCCAGCACAGGCAGGGGTGCCGAAGACAAGGGAGCTCCGGGCATCCGAGGTTAGCGGTAGCGGGTGCACTGTCCACAGTGCATGCTGGAGGATCAGGGGGACCTCGAGGGGGGGCGAAGGCTGACCCTGAACAAGTCACTGATTGTGGAGGCGAGACCACAGGGATGTGCCGGAGTGAGCGGGGGACGCTGGGGAGGTGGTAGGAGGGTGTGGGTGTTCAGACAGGTGGCATGCCAGTACGCTCAGCCTGTGGGCTGCAGCGGGGCTCCGGGTCACAGCCTGGTGTGACGCCTGGCAGGGAGCCTGACCTCTCAGCAGAGGTCGCGGAGATAAAGACCGTTCACAGGGAAGTGGGGTAGAGGGGGACCAGCGAGAGATCCGAGAGCAGAGTATTGGGAGGTGCGGAGTGAGGTATTAGAGACCGGGCAGCTCATGAGGGAATGGAAAAGAAACAGCAGGGGCCGGAGCTGTGGCAAAGTGGATAAAGCCGCCGCCTGCAGCTCAGGCATCCCCCACAGGCACTGGTTAGTCTCCCAGCTGCTCCACTTCCGATCCAGCTCTGCTATGGCCTGGGAAAGCATCAGAAGATGGCCCAAGTCCTTGGTTCTCTGCACCCACATGGGAGACCTGGAAGAAGCTCCTGGCTCCTGGCTTCAGATCAGCTCGGCTCCAGCTGTTGTGGCCATCTGGGCAGTGAACCAGTGGATGGGAAAATCTTTCTCTCTAACTCTGCCTCTCAGATAAGTAAATCCATCTTTGAAAGCTGAACAGTGGATCCCTCCAGTTCTGTTCCTGTACGTTGAATGCTTTTAGGGAGCACGGCAGACGGAGTGCTCCAGCCTTGGCCAGGTCTGCACTGCCAGTCTGCTCTGAGTGTGTGCCCAACCCCACAGCCGGCTTTGCCAAGCCCTTTGCCAGCGTCTCAATGACTCCCTCACTCAGGCTTGGACTTGAGGGCAAACTGATGAAAGCAGCCTTCTGTCCCCTCTGCCCTCCCCTCTTGTGGGACCGAGGGTGTCTCCTTGCTGCCTGAGGTTGCGACTCCCACCGTGTTCCGTGCTCCCCAGCTGTGCAGACCTCACCCGCGGGGTTGCCATTCCCCTGCCCCTGTGGGGCTGCCTGTGACCTGCAGCTCATGGGTGTGCTGGGCGGAGCAGGTGAAAATGCACGCCCTCCCCCCACGCGGCAGGCTCGGCTCTCCCGTATGACAGCACTTCAGCCTCAATCCCGGGTCTTCCTCTAATGCCATCTCAGCATTTCCTTACCTGTGGATAGCTCACTGTGAAAGTAGCTTTAAGTCCCTGGACTTTTCCATTTTTTTTTAACCGACAGAAATCTGCCTTTGCTAGTTAAAATTCTGAAATACACTTGCCTGTGTCATCCATTCCCTGGTGGTATTCCACCTTCCCTCCTTCAAACTCCAAATTCCTTAGCGTGGCACACAAAGCATAATGGCTTCTTTGCACCACGTGATACTAATTTAAGCACCTTGGCAGAGAGCAGCGGGCTGGTGCAGCCCCTCAGCTGTCTCGCTGTCTGTACTTTGCCACCGCACTAGCACTTGGCTGATAACCGGTCACTCAGTGAGCACAGTGCCGGGCAAAAGGAACAGACGCTTACGGAATGCACAGGGCTGGGTCGGCGCTGTCCAAGGGAAACAGAAAGTGAGCCCCATGGGCAATTGGAAATTTCTAGAAAAGCAACCCAAACAGACGAAATCGTGTTAACATTTTATTGAACCGAGTATACCCCACTATCAGTTGAATGTGATTCATACGAACACTGAGAAATTTTGCATTTGTTTTCCGTTCTAAATCTTGGAATCCAGGCTGTGTGTTTCCCAGGTCAAGCGCATCCTCCGGGCTCAGCGCAGGGGGCCAGGGGCTGCCTCCTCAGAGCCCGCCCAGCCGGTCACTCCCGCCACTGCCCTCTCCCATCTTCCTTGCGGCCCTGTCCAGTACTAACGGACGGTCTCCTCCGCCCGCGTGTCTGCTGGGAGCCCCGAGCCCTCGCAGGCACGGGCTCAGCTCCGTGGCACACAGCCGGCGCTCACCAACCGCGGGAACCCGCGCCCGGGCCTCCTTCAGCCGGCCGGGAGGTGGACGCCGAGCCGTGGACGCGACTGGGCGGAGTCTGGCCGGCCCCGGGGAAATTTATTAGCGCACAAGGCAGTTCGGACACCGTGTGTGTAGGTCTCGTCCTAGAGCACAAACCCCATTAAGGACCAGTGATCCCATTACCATTCTGATGCTACTAGCTGCTATTTACCAAACAATTGCTACACCCGATTCTATCTTCATTTCACCCTCCATGAAGTATGGAATTGTATCATCACCCTGTTTCACAAGTACATAAAATAAAATCCAAAATGATAAAGACAACTACACAGCTACCGAATGGTAAAATGATGGCTATCCCAGACCTATCTTTCACCATGGCTCAAGGTTGCAGTTCTGGAGTTGAAACTCTGTCTTTCTTTTCTGCAGGGACACCTCCCTCAGGTTCAAGGCCAGGCCTGGAGCCTCTTCAGTGATGTTAGAGGGTGCTGATGACATGGCCTGCCAGAGATCTCACTCATCTGTAGGGCTACAAAAGAGATCAGTCTAAGTTTTTAGAGACGGTGGGACATAATTTGAGACAAGGTCTCAGAGAATTAGAGAAGTCTGTTTAAAACAGGTGTGTGATGGCAAATTTCTAGAACTTATCCGAACACCTGATTAGATACGTATTATTCCAGGATTTCAAGCCCTTTCATAGGATGATGAGTTTTCTTCTG